AGATGGGTTGGGAGGCAAATGGATGCAATGTGGCTTTTCTCCTGGAATCTCTCTGTGTCCCGGGGGGTGGGGGGGGTGGTGTTAGGAACCCCTTTCTGTGCGTCCTGCAGAAAGCGGGGATACCGGACGGTTAGTGGACGAGGTTGCATGGGGGAGGCAGGAGGGTCGAGCGTGGCCGAGGGACTGTGTGACCATCGGTAAGGTGACAGTAAGGCTACCGGGTCATGTCCCGCTTTAGTGAAATACACAGTTACGCCAGTAGGTGGAGCTGTGAGCTGAGGGGTTTGCATACTGTACAAAGTAACAGCCACCATGCATATTGCTGAGGGACTCTGACATTAGTCTTTCTTTTTATTGAGGTAAGAAGGTCTGTGTTAAGGAATCCATAACAAATGCCTCTGTGCATGCGAGAGGGACTCTGTAGGCCTGATTGCTTGTTTGTTTATATGACCCCAGAGTTGGTCAGGATTCACTGATTCTGGCGGCAAATATCATGCATGAATTTAGGTGCTGAAGGTGCTGGTGTAAGTGGCTGCTCGTCGATTCGAAATCGGAGAAACGGCATCATGCTGATCCTTCAACGTTAATGATGTAGGAGTGATTTCCTTAGGTCGGGACACTTACATGAAGGGAGCGGTTGATGTGCAGCTGGGAAAACAGATATTCAGGATAAATGGCAGGAGATGTAGATGGAGCAGAGCAGTGAGAGGGTGGGGGAATGAACATGGGATTCCGGAGGCTGAGGCCATACAGTGCAGACAGACGGACCAGAGACGGACACGCAAACCAGGCCACAGACTTAGGAGAGCTGGCAGGGGGCTACAAGGGGGGCGCAGACGGCCTCTGGAGGCCAAAAAATCCTTGCCGCCTCCCAGCTGAAATACCCTCAGGCTTTGGAGAAACAAGGCAGGAACTCCGGTGGCCTTGTCTGGGCATTATCTCACTCTCTGGGTGCTGCATGCTTCGCATAGGACATAAGAGAGTGCAAGCTCTGCTACAAGAATCAGAGGAATGTGAGAGGAGCACAAGACCCTATTGGCTCATATCAGGGTTTGAGGGTGTTGACAAATTCTCATTGGTTCACTGTAGGAGCTCAGGTGTGATGTGGGGGCAGGAAAACAGTTGAGAGGCGGCGATTTCTCCAAATAGGTGGTCACATGACTTCCAGAGCTGCCTGGAACTGTGGGTGGGCTGCAGTTTCTTTCTTGTCCAAAAACAAGGCGTGTCTTGTTGATATGGAGCCTGGTCTGTCACATTCTCTTTTCTGATAGGCTGAAAGACCTGGAAGTCCTGTTCAGTGCTAAGCAATGCTTTGCGTTTTCTTTTTGTTCAGAAAGAGCATGTCCAGCAGGAAATCGCCATGAAACCACATGGTTGAGGTCAGCATGAATTACATGATATCCAGCAGAACTTCTTCGTCCGTTTTGACTGATCAGGACACTCCAGGCAGATAGAAAAAGACCATGTATGTGGGAACAGCCTGAGTCTGTATCAGCACAGTCAGCGGATGACCATCACATCCAAGGCTTGAAGTAGGAGTTGGAATAATGAGACCACTAAAGGCCCTTAATAATGTAAAGACCCTCACTGGCTCCCCCACCATCCCGGGGGGGAGCATTCATCCAGGTATTGACAGATGCTTTACCTCTATACCAAAAGCATCCAAAGGCCCCTCCTACAGTCCCAAACCACCTGATTCAGGATCAGTTCAGCCCCTCCAGTCCTGACCTTACCCACACACTAAATGGCTCTAAATCATCACCACTCATTGGAAGTAGTATAATGACATGACACCCTATTTGTTCATTGGCTCTTTGGTCTGACTAATCTGCCCGTTGACCAATCACACGACAGCAAAGCACAAGTACTCAAGTATTACCTTGGAGCTCTGGACCCAACGAGCTATAAGCTGTTTGTGAAAGTCGCTCTACCCAGAAACCGCCAATCTACAGCAGCACAAAAACACCTCTGAAAACCCATGTACCCTTAAATACAAACCGAATCCAGTGTTATTTGAAAAACTCGCACCCTGTATTTGTCTGTCTGAGATAGAGGGTGCATCCGGCCCGGTCGATGTGTTCCAGCTCGCACCTGCCCTCTTGCTGATCACCTCCACCAGGCTGGAGGGGAAGTAGCCCACTCTGTCATTTCCTGTGCGGTTGTCATGGATACAGCCCTTCCACCTGCCATCGGAGTGCTGCTCAAGGACCTTCGGGCAAAATAATGCAGCTTCGTTAATTACAACGGTAATATTATTTCAATTCACTGTGCTGTGTGGTGAAATTATGAAAAGGCAACAGCACCCTCTGCAGCCAGAAAATTGTATGCACATGTTCAGAATGAACTGGTTTCTGGTTTTACAGATTCTGGTCATATTTAGCTGACCACCTCAGACCACTTCAGATATGAAGGGTCGACCACCTCAGATACGAAGCCTGTCCAGCGCTCACCGAGATGATGTCACCAGCCTTAATGTTGAGGCTGGTCAAGTCATAATTGTTGCAGTAATCCTTCAGGGCCCTGACCTGCAGGGCTGTAGAGGCATCTGCACGGGAAAACACAGGGAAACACAGCTAGGCACAGAGATATACCAGGATAGGCTGACACAGGGAAACACAGCTGGGCACAGAGAGAAACCAGGATAGGCCAACAGAGTGAGCTGGACAGAGAGATAAACCATGATACACCAACACAGGGAAATAGAGCTGGGCATAGGAATAAACCATGGTAGGCCAACACAGGGAAACACAGCTGGGCACAGAGAGAAACCAGGATAGGCCAACACAGGGAAACACAGCTGGGCACAGAGAGAAACCAGGATAGGCCAACAGGGTAAAACAAAGCTGGACACAGAGATAAACCATGATACACCAACACAGGGAAATAGAGCTGGGCACAGGGATAAACCAGGATAGGCCAACACAGGGAAACACAGCTGGGCACAGAGAGAAACCAGGATAGGCCAACACAGCTGGGAACAGCACAGTTCTTCTAGTCTAACCTCTTAGCATCTGCTTAATCTCCTTGCTGGCCTGCGAGGCAGTGAACTGATGCACAATGTCCAGCGCTGTCTGGCTGTAGGTGTTCCTCACTGCCGCGTTGATGCCGCTCTGGGTGGGGGACACAGGGAAGACAGTTCAGGACACACAGAGCCTGGCCCGACATTTATGACTTTTTAAAAGTCTTTTTCTAGTGTTTTGCAGATGGACACAGAGGTATGACTCCGAGTCCCACGTCCACACTGTTTCCATGGCAACTCACGTCCAGCAGCAGGCGCACTGCCTCCGTCTTCCCACAGAGGGCAGCCTCGTGGAGGGCTGTGCCTGACTTGGTCTGCCAGTTGATGTCGATGCCCGCCTGGATCAGCAGCCTGTGTGTGGAGGCATAACACAGCTTTAACCCATACAGGCCGTCCGAAGTTAGTTAAGGTTAAGTACTCCTACTGTCCTTTGAGCTTCCCTCCATCTGGTCACTCTGTGGTGTCATGTCTAATGAGGGGAGGGGAGGGGAGGGGAGCAGTGTATGCCACTGTGCCTGTGATCTGAAGGTTGTTAGTTTGAACCCCCGATCGGCACCATGGTTTCATTGTTAGGCCCTTGAGCAAGACCCTTAGTCCCAGATTGCTTCATGGATTAACTGACTTAGCTTTGGATAAAACCTCTGCTAAATTAATAAATTGTAATGGTGTTTACATCAAGTTGTCATACAGCGATTTCAAGTACAGAGCAGTAGTGCAGGAGACCTAAGATATCTCTTAATGACACTTGCACATCCTTAAAATCTACACACATGCACTCCATACCCCGACTACGGAATGCCTCGTTACTAGTACTTTAAGGATAACTTCCCTCATGCTCCTGCAGGGGGCGATGTACTAAACTCTATCCTACACTTTTATTGCACGCCTGCTTGGTAATAGGTGTGGTGTAGCCAGCGCCCAAAGCAACAATGCACACCCACACACATGTGTATTTAAACAGCAGTCCAAAGCTTACAAGTCGAACAACAGTTAGCAGTAGCAGTCATGGAACTGGATGTGACAGCATTGCACAGGGAGACACTGGGAGGCACTGTAATAGTGTACAGCTGGTACCTCTGCATTCCCACTGTTTGTGAGGTGTGAGCTGCCCGCTGCCCTGGGTCCTTATCATGAATGGGGAGTGTGCAGAGCTGCCCTTCATTGTGCCTGTGTGATAAGTTATATCCTCCCCTTCTGCCATCTGTGATGCCTCAAGCTTTCAAATAGCACTGGAATGTTCCCACTAAACACTCCAGGCCCCGGAGGCTAAAGATTTTTTTGTTTTTTTTCTCTCTTACACTGACTGATTACTTTGTGGTACCGCAAAGCATGAGCTGATTTGCTATTCTGTGCTGTAGAACGTCCGATGTAGCCCCCTGTTGGTACTGGTAGGAACTGCAGCATAATGGGAGGACAAGAGAAGTCAGTCCAAAAAGATCCCTGTCTTCTAATGCTTAAAGACTCCGACACGGCTGCTGCTGAAGCGGTCCAAGACGCCGTTCTCCCGGAGTAAGCCCTGACCTTATGATGTCGATGTGGCCGTTCTTGGCGGCGAGGTGCAGGGGGCTGGTGCCATTGGGATCAGTGGGGTTGCCGGGTTTGGGCTCCAGCAGGGCAGCGCACATGTTGCTGTTGAGGAGTAGCTGGACGACCTGTAGGGGGCGCATGTAGGACGATTTTGTGTCCCAGCACAGGCCAATGAGACTTTCACAAGACTGTTGGACGTGGAGATGTGGGACTTACTCACCCCAACCCTGCCGAATTCACAGGCCAAGTCCAAAGGGGTCTTCCCAGCATTGTCCACAATGCAGGGGTTAGACTGGTACTGGAGCAGCATCTCCGACTGAGGAGGTGGGGGTATGGGGAGAGAACTCAGATGTTAGTGCAAACCTGTAATGCCCCTCCCTCCCCACAAGGGGTGCCATCAGGGCTCTGTATGAGGGGCGTCCCTTAACCAGCTGTGTGCCCCCTTCAGGCCGTGTGGGGGAGGTGGGCCACATCCCAGCCATCGACCAGACGCCCGCATTCCCTGCCATTTCGCCACAGATGCAGAAGGGAAAGAGACGCAGCAGCACTTTCTCCTCATTGCGACTGCAGTCAGCATTTTTCTGACATTCTTTTTCTAACAAAAGCAGTTGCATCTTGAGTTGGGCTGTGAAACGTGTCACCTGTGTCCCTGCGGGCCCAAGTCCCTGCAAGCTCTCCCTGCTCTTCAGTGATCCATCTCCCTCCCTCAGTACATCCGCTGAGCCTGGAGTTGCTGGCAGAGTAGCTGATGGTGCTTACAGTAAGGCTGTAGCTGCTTCCAGTGTAGCCGTTGGGAAGTGAGGTTAGTCCAGTGTTGCTTACAGTCTGTCTGCATGTAGTGAGCCTAGGCCTTCTTACAAAGTGACTACTGGTATATGCAGTGAAGACTGAGCTTCTTACAGTATGGACAGTCATATGCATATATGCAGTGAAGATAGAGCTTTTTACAATGTGGATAGTGGTATGTACAGTGATGATAGAGCTTTTTGCAGTGTGGATAGTGGTAAATTCTCTGAGGATAGCTTTTTACAGAGAGGATAGAGGTATATGCCATGAAAATAGAGCTTTTTAATGTGTGGACAGTGGTATATGCAGTGAGGATAGAGCTTTTTACAGTGTGGATGGCAGAATATTCAGTGTGAATAGTGGTATATGCAGTGTGGATAGTAGTTTATGCAATATGGATAGTGGTACATGCAGTGAGCTTTTTATAGTGCATTACAGTGTTTGGAGGCCCCGTACCACGTCATAGTGCCCGTGCTGTGCCGCCAGGTGCAGGGGGATCTGGCCCTCATCCGACTGCCCGTTTACTGAGGAGCCTGACTTCAGCAGCATCCTGATAGGCTCCGACTTACCCTGCCAGGCAGCATAATGCAGCGGTCGCATGCCTGCAGGGAGTACAGGGGGGTGTGTCAGTCAGCTTGTGTGTGTGTCTTTGAAACGCTGTGTATGCGTGTGGGTGAAAATGTGTAAGGGACGAAGAGGCCACCTTTCTGGTCGCGGACGTCCACGGCAGCCTGGGACTCCAGCAGCAAGGCGATGAGCTCCAGGTTCCCGTTGAGGGCGGCGTGGTGCAGTGGGGCGAACCTGTTGGGAGAGGGGGGGGGATCAAGGCTCAGGAGATGAACAGGTGGGCCTGTCGGTGTCCGCGGCAGGGAGCCAGCGCAACACATTTACAGGATTAGATTGCACAAAGTACAGCAGGCCAAGAACAACAGCTTCCTCCATTTTCAGTCTCACTTTCCAGGGCAAGGTGTGTACTGCAGGCTGTACAGACACACAGCTATTCAGTGAGGTCAGCTTAAAGTCATCGGCTCACACAGGGCTTGATAAACCTGCCTGTCCTGGTTAAGTGAACCCTGGGGCCCCTTCCGACACCTGAAGCAGTATGGAGAGTGGAAGGTGGGGTCCCAATGCTCAGCAAGAGCCGGGGGGCTTAGAGAGCAGAATGGATCTGGCAAAGGATCTGCAAGGCTATCGAGGCCACAGACCACAGCCCCCAGCTGCTGTGTGGGAAGATCGTGGTAATTTGCTGTGAGCATTGAAAAAAATAGGAATTGAAATTTTAAATCAGTGTAAAATTACTTGCACTAAAAAATACATTTCCTTAATTGTTTTTGGGTCAGGCACAAAAGTAGGCTGACCGCTCTCAGTGAAATAGAAAGTGGTAAGTAAGTGAAATAGCTGTATTTTTTGTGAGTGTGTGTGTGGACCTGTGTGTATGCCTGGGAGTGTGTGTGTGCAAGCATGCATATGTATGTGTGTGAGTGTGTGTGCTTGTGTCTGTGCGCGTGTGTGTGTGTCTGCGGGCGTGTCTGCGTGTGTGTGTCTGTGTCTGTCTGTGTGTGTCTGCGTCTGTGTGTGTCTGCGTGTGTGTGTGTCTGTGTGTGTCGGCGTATGTGTGTCTGCGTGTGTGTGTCTGCGTCTGTGTGTGTCTGTGTGTGTTGGCGTCTGTGTGTGTGTATTCATGAGTATTCAGGTTACTGTTACTACTGTGGTACTTGATTGCTTTAGCTTGATCCAAAGTGGTACATGGTCCAAAAAGTTTGAGAACCGCTGCCATAAAGTGATGGTGACACAGACCAGTGCAGGAAGTTACACAGTCCTGCTAGCTGTCACTGTGATGGTGCGTCATGGTGAAAATGGTGGTTAGAGTGCAGTTTGGGAGTGTACAAGCCTGTAAGTGCAGGCGGGATAGATTCTCCAAAACATAAATAAATCGCTGGCTAGTGGGAAAACAGTACTTTGCAATTTTTAGCTATCAACCCCCCCCTCCTCCCCCCCCCCACACACACACACACACACACCCCTCCACTGAACCAGAGAAAGTGTCCTTTTCCCAGATGCACTCCACTGGAGTGTGAGAGGACAGATACAGGAAACAGGGAAGAGGAGGGGGTCAGGGAGAAGGTGAGACAGCAGTGAGGACTGGAGCCTCCATGCCCTGCCCAGGAGGGTGGGGTCTGCAGCCATCCCCAAGCAAGGTAAGCCCGCCTTCTGGCATGTATTACACTGACCAGTATTTGTTTGTATAGTGCAACTTTCCCCTCGGATCGGATCAGCTGACTAAAACGACGACAAGGTGCTGACAGGTTACCTTCAGACCCTCAAAGAGAGAGGTTTCGCTCAAAGCGCTGGCAAAGTGCCCAGAGTGAGGGGACAGGCTGTCTGAGAGGAAGCGTAATGTGAACAGACAGATCACGCCTCCAATTGAATAATCAAGATACTTTACCTGCCGTTTTGAGTGTGTCGGAATATATACAATAAATTTGATTTGATGTGTCACGGGAGGTTGCAGGTTCAAGGCCCCTGTCCGAGGTCATTAATGCTCATCTCTCCAGAGGTTTTCCCGATGTGGAAGCCCTGGCTTTAGACAAGATTCGGACGGGAGCCACATGTGAGCAAGATCTGGCCTGTTTCACCATATTGGTTCTGCAATAACAGGGCTGTGTTAAGCAATAAAATATGATCATTAATAACAATATCTCCCTGGTGTGTGGGAATGGAGAATCGCTTCGAAGAGCCATAGTAAAATCACAACTTATGCAACATTCATGTGTAGCTCGTTCCCATGCCTGCGGCCCCCGCCCCCCACGCTCACCGCCCCCGCTCTCCTCCATCCCCTCTCACTGTTGCCATGGTAGCATCAGCATAAGGCATTCCCTTGCTCCCCCTCTGCGCCCGCTGGGCCAACAGTGGGGCCATGTTTCGGACCATGACCTACTTATTCTGTGGAGGGATCCCCTGCCCCCCCCCCACTTTAGGGCATCCCCGTCTCCATGACCTCTGATCCTGAGAGTCACCCTGCCCTCCTCTATTCACTCCTTAATGTTTTCCTTTACTACCATTGTGATGTCTACCTAGTGGCCAGAGCTCAGTCTGGCATCTCCATAGTGATGATGCTTTTAAATCTGACGTTGATTAAACATTTGTTGGGGGATCAGTAATAAAGATACCTGGGGGATGTTCTGTGGGGCTTTAATGGGCGGGGATGGTGGTCGGATTGATGGGGAGTCATTCCTTCGCGATTTTAAGGTGGGTCTTTATTCAGGATAACAGCTATGTTTTTTGCAAGCAAAGTAACATCTTTATAATTTGCTAAAAAGAACCCCCTTAACCTGAGTTTTATTCCATTGGTCAAACCTGTAGTTACCTTGGCTCAGCTGTTCTCTGATTGGTCACTCCAGCAGCAAACTGACTGAAGGGGGCTGTTGCCATGACAATGAGATGTGTACTGTAAGGTTGCAGGTTCAGTTTCCTGGTCTAAAGAAGGGAACTGAGGTGAATGTTTGTTTCCGACATGTAGGAATCACTCAGGGGGGGATGGTGGTCATATCAGGGGGAATGAGTAGACTTATGGGAGTTTCGCTTACACAAATATGTTTTGAGGGCAGAACAAAAAATGATTGGTTCAGATAGCTAACCAATCAGATTGTAGAAGAGGTAGGTCAAAGCTACTAGAGGAGGCAGGACCAAGACATCTGATTGGTTTGTCCTACCTCCTCTAGTTGCTTGGATCCACCTCCTCTACAAGCCTGATTAGATATCTCTCTGGAGCAATTTTCATTCTGCCCTCAGAAGTTTACCCACTAGTTGACCCACTTCTCAGTCTATCCATCCATCCACCTGGGTAACTGCGTGACCAAGCAGGCTTGCCATGAGCTGGGTCCTTGTAGACCATTGTGGACTGCACACCCCTGGGGATCACGTTTGTTCATTCACACAGTCTGAGGACGCTTCAGAGACTCATCTGAAAATCACTAAGGTCGCATTCCCTGCAGAATGTAAGAGACTGAGAGTTTTGCAGTGCCAACAGCAAGCCTGCAGAGGTCATCGTTTCTGATAAGCTGCCTGCCTCCCTGCCAGTACCCCCCACCCCCGCAGCACAGTGAGGGAGAACACAGCTTCTAGTCCCCTTCTGTTGGTGGCATCTACTGCCCCCCCCCCCCCCCCGAGATCCAGTGAAACAAGGTCTGGAGGGAGTGGGATTCACCTTAAAGCACACTCATTCAGGCCTTTCCAGTCTCCTGCCTGCTTCATTATCTCATCACTTTGTGCATGTCCCTGTTAGCTGATGCTTGTATCCACAGTAACCGACACAGTTAGGGTCACCGCTAAGGCATTAAAGAACCTGCACTGTGTAGCACGGCAGTTCTGACTCATACGGAGACCATCATCATAGTGACAGCAGCGTGCCAGCGACGGGCCGTGTCTGATGCTGTGGCGCTGTCCCAGGATGCTTAGCTCCACGCGCCCCTGTTCTCTCACCTTCTGTCCTTCGCACTTGGCGGCTAACAGCTGTTGTTTGTGTGCACGTCAGTCTGGACATCTCGTCTGCCCTGCCGGCGCCTTCGGGTTAGCAGCTGCTGCCGACCCACTGTAAGTGCAGGGTGTGCTCTGATTGGATGAGATCTAGTGACATCACGCGTTTAAATTTGGAGCTCAGGATTACCCCCTGCTGGTTGGCATCAGTCAAATCATGGAGTCACGAGGCGGGAAGAACGAGGAGCGTGGAAACGTGTGAAGGACAATGTAAACAGCTCCTGTCTGCTACCAAGGGAACACTCCCTAACACACATGTGCACATGCACCCATACATGTCTCTTCCTCTTTTCACTCACCCATCTATGTCCTGGAAGTTGACGTTGACCTTCTTGGCTGACCCCAGGAGCTCTGGAAGACAAGGTAAAGCATTGAGATAAGTGTAGCTCAGACTGTCTAGAGGGGCTGCAAGTCGCTGGTGCATAAACGTCAGTATTAACTTCATTATTAACTTCACTCACTGAGGGCGCAGTTTTATCTAGAGCAGCCTCTCTTGTTCATGTATTAATTTGTACCTCTTGCAATATTCCAAACCTCCTGATGGTTAATATAATTATCATCTTTAACAGGAAGTTTCAGCTAAATATTATAATGTCATATTGTCACCGTCCAATGAAAACCGTGCACTTTTTGCTACAGATGGATTATGCCAATTCTCCTCTGTCTGCTGATAGTATCTGATAGGAAAACACGTTTTATGAAGTCATCTATTTAACTAGTATTTATGTTTGTACTCGCTAACATTTGTATTTATGATGGTCGGTTGTATGGATTACTTTATACTCACTAATTTTAACAACGGTGATTGCTAGATAGCTTGCAAATTAACTCTTTGTTAGTTCATCGGACAGTGCATTGTTAATTGTGAATATAGAGTGAGATTAGTTTGTATCTATTTGACACTGGCGTATTTGCCTTGCTGAAAATCCACCTACAGTGCTCACAGAAAGTTTGCTTAATTCTGTAAAAATGCTGCAAATTTGTTGGTTTTCTAACAAAAATCGTTACTTTATTAATTTGTTTACAAAAAATATATATCACGTTAGAAACAACCAGTAGTTTTAAGTGAAACATTCATTTCAAGTCGTAATAAATTGTAAACCCAAATTATAGTTCTAAAAGAGCTATTCTGAGTATAAAAAATCATTGATATACAGTCTCATTGGGTGCTATTTAATCAATAAAACCTTTGCCATCCATAACATAAAACACCAAACATTTGTGTTTACTATCCCTTTGGGAGTCAAGGACTACTATTGAAATTAACAGCAGAATGGCAAGAACAGAACTTAATGAGTCAGCCAAAAAAAAATTGACACTTAATAAAAAGAAAATGACTGTGTAGAACATATGTACAGAATTGTTAGACATTGCTTGTCGATACTTCTGTTATGAAACCAATAAATTTGCAACATTTTTACAATATTAGGAAAGCAGCCCAAAACTTTCTGTGAGCACTGCAAGTTAATTTAAATCTGTCTGTGTAAAGACATATTTCTGTTTGGGCGTGAAGGCTGTTTATGTGAAGTTGGTGAGATAATGGATTTTTGGAAATACATATTTTTTTGTTGAACAGTGGTGATATGCTTGACAGGTTTACCAAAGTAGATTTTTTTTTACCAAATACCAAAATTTATTCTCTTAAGCAGTAAAATGTGCATTTCTGTGCTTTGCATCCTGCCGTGTGGATCTCTGCTGCTGCTGGCTGGTGCTTCAATATATTTCCCAGTGAATGTTTTTCCCGCAGTTGGATTGGACCGGTCTATACCTTTGTGTGACAGCTAAGATTCATGGGAAACTGACTGTTAGTGACTTGTCAAGGGGGAACCCTTCTTTTAACATATGATATTAAAATGATGTGCAGCTCAATCCACAGTATGAGAAAAGTGAGTCAGAAAGAGCGGTGGCAGCACACTTATGCTGAGGATGAGATTAGAAAAAGTGCTCGTGATTTACAGGTGAACATATTTTTCCTATAATTTACTGAAAGAGAAAAGTCTCACGGTCAGAGGGTGATATTTTATTGAGTTCAAAGTACATGATCTCCAGTTCATCTGAAATCAATATGACAGACTCTGCAAGATTTGGGGGGCTGAGGCCACTGATATTATTTTAATCTCGGTAGCTCCCTGCAAAAGGCTGCTGCCCCCCACTCCTCTCCAGATGGGTCCAGCTGCTCCATGGGTTGTGGGGGGGGGGGGGGTATTGATAGGGCAGGATGCCAATGAAAGGGGGGCCGGGTGATAGAGCATGATTCCCACAGCCAAGATGGCTGAGTCTGTTCCCACCCGGACGACCTGGATCCCATGACTGAACGCAGTGTGTTTCCAGGAAATGCCAGACTGTGCTTGGGGGGGTGGGGGGTGTGAGACAGGCCACCAAACTTCTACGTTTTCACGGCACGTTGGCTTCACCGTAGGAGGAGTGCGTGCAGACAGAGTGAACATAAATTGGGGTTACCCCACTGCTGTTCTGGGGCAGGCCTCTTTGCGAGGCCAGTCGGCAGGGGCTGAGATTTAATCCCATCAAAACTCCCCTCAAATGTGGCGGAAAAGGCACTCGCTGAGACTGGCTCTCATGCTGAGATTTTTAGTGCCATCCGGGGCCCAAACGCTGGCTTTAGGAATCAGCCCTCTTCCCGGTGCATCACAGCTTCCGGCTCCTTCTGGCCATACAACGAGGACTTCAGGTGCGGGAGCAGAACATCAGTAACAAACGGTGACTTCTCGTCAACCAGGGCCCATTGTAAGATTTTTTAAGTTGAGGGGCATAAAAAGGGGCCATAATTCATACAGAGGAGTCAACTTTATCATTAGCCAATGATATGTTTTGAATGTTGTGAGTGACAGGGGAGGGGGGCACTCCGGGGGCCAATCAGCTTTCAGCTGGATCCAGCATTCCCTTGGCCCCGCCTCTGTGTATGCCCCTGTTGTGAAGTCAACCATAGAAAACAAGTTTCTAAAATAAAGTGGGAGTGAAGATGGGGAGATGGAGACAGGTCGGAGGGGGGGGGGGCAGCCCTCAGTGCCTCTGAGCTTCTCTATATAACCTTCAGGGATTGGAGAGGGGGCATCATAACCCCAATCATAACCCACCCCCCCCCCCCTTGGAGAATCCCCCACACAGGAGCAGACGACACAAAGACGTGTATCTTTTTACCCGCTAATGTGTTAAATATACACACAAGTCAGGCTACTTAGTAATAATAATAATGACAGTATAATGGCGATGAGGAATAATGGCGTGAAGATAGGAGAGGGGTATCCTGGAGATGAGGAACGAGGCCACAGAGACCTACTGCGGCGCCAAAGCCCAGCTTCCACCGTGCAGTGAGAAATCGCTCCCCGCCTTAGCAATTAATGCAAGTCGTAAAACAAAGCGAGGGGGCGCCGCTCGTTAATTAGGATTATGCAAATGAGCTGGAGTCAGAGCCGGGATGAGCCGGGAGGCTGCGGCGGTGCAGCCGGGCTGGTGCCGTCTTACGGTGGCTGAGCTCAGCTTTCCGAGGTTCTTTTACTCCTGGCTCCGATTGGTCACCGCTCATGGCTAAGCATACACCCTGCCGTGAACTACATTTCCCATGAGCCTCAGAGCGGCGCCCCCTAGTCTGGGAATCACGGTCTTTTGACGGCCTGACAATTCACTGAATTATTAATGTTGGCGCTTCCCTTGGCTGGGGGCAGGGGGGCACTCCTGCCTGTGCAGCGTCCTGGACTTGACCCTCCTACTAACATACGGGCTGATGCCCCCCCGGGTATACCTGCCAACTAATGTCCCTGACATCCCCGGCCTGTCCCACTAGTGACCATCCTAGGCTTGGCCAGGGATCAGGGGGTCCAGTAAAAATGTCTAACCCGTGCCAGCCACTAATGCCATGAGACTGGACGCTTCTACAGTTCCCACAGTGCAGGGTGGTGGAGTCCATGGGGGCTAATGGCAGGTGAGAGACAGGAAATCCCCCCCCCCACCCCCCGAATTCCCCCACCCTCTCTCCCTCCATCTGGAGTCCCACATGGAAAACAATTAGTGCACTACCAGTTCAGCTCAGCCAGTGTCCTCTGATTCTGTCCCAGCTGGCTGTAACCCGGCCCTGCTGGCTTGGTTTGCCCCCCCCCCCAACATACCCATCACTGCCCCTTCAGTGTAAAGGGAGCAGGAACGAGTCGCTTGGCATGATTAGTAAGGGCTGATCCAGCATAGTAATGGCGGAGCTTACATAACGGGGCACACCTGCGCTCGCGTTATTCACTGAGTCATGCCCTTCTTACGCCACGGAAGCTGGTACCAGCATCTGTGGCCTCATCCAGGTGCGGCCGCCAGCGTTCTCTGCGAGAGACTGGGAATTATCACTGCGTCGGAAAGCACAGAGCGCTGTCTGAAGCTGGTAAGCGGCGCGTGCGTGACGGAGCGACAGGAGTGTGTGGGGCGGCCAGGCTCTTTCTGTGACGGCTGGGCTGCCGGGGGTTCGTGATCCTCTCCAGCAAATGAACATCTCGGTAACATCAAGGTGGCCCTGCGTGTTGGCTGACGGTGACAAAGTATGTCTCTTAATGCAGGCATGCAGACTCCTCGTTTAGCAGCGGGGGCTGGAACGAGTGGCGCGCAGGTGGCCAAATGAAGCCGACGTGAACATCGCTGACGTGCTGCGCCGCCCGGCTGTCAGAGAGAGGACCGCAGCTAGGAGAGCCACGTTTCATCCGTCTTCCTGTCTGTGGGAAGGCCATCCCCTCTCTCCATGCTGCTCTCCTCTGCGCTTCCCCCATCTCCGCCACTGACCCCGGATCAGTTTGACAGAGCTCTGTGGTCATGATTAGAGGATGCTGGTGTTGGCCGAAGCGAACTGCTCAGGGTACAGAGGAGCCATGGAGGATGTGTAAAGGAGACTCTGGCTTTCTGCATGATTATTTCAGCCTGTCACTCTGCTTATCTTTAGATTCCACAGATGAGGGCTGGAGGAGAAGAGATGAGGGGTGGTTGCTAGGCAACGAGCATCCTCTTGCTCTTCCTACACAACTGTGAACACCGCTGATCGCAGATTCCCTCTTCAGCAGGGACTCACGCACACACACACACACACACACACACACACACACACACACACACACACACATGCACACTTTAGCAGAGATTCTTGGCCACTAACACACCCTCAACCATCCCTGCACAAGCGTTGCCACGGTGCTTGATCACGTGAGGCAACAGCTTTGTATAGAAAAAGAAGCCAATCACACAGACGTGCACTCACACACTCACAGAAACACAATGAAGGCCTCAGTGACCATGTCCTTGGGATGCCACCCCCCCACTCCACAACCACACACGCCTTTGCCTCTCCCCACACCTCCTACTGC